ACAACTTCAGCATAAGTAGAATTCTTAGAGGACCGAGACTGTCGAGCATCTAAATAAAAAGAAGCAGATGCCACTACTCTATATCATCATGTCTTGATAATCATTCAAATGCCATAGGCATACCACTACCAGCAACAGACTTCCCTTATACCGGTGTTCAGTCAACATTCCGCAAATCTTGGAGCCACACGTTTATTCTGCAACATCAGCCATGTGGACGTGGATGGACTGCATGCTTCCCGTTCCCCGCAACAAGTCGGATCGTCGCAGAACACTTATTAATATCGCCAAGACCCTTGGGCTTTGAACTACAATTTGCTTGTTTGACCTGCGCCTCTGCACTCACTCACTTACTTACATCATGTCTGGGCATTAGACATATCCCGCACCGCCCAACCAAGCTATTCAAACTACTTATGTACAGCATACATGTCTACCCGCTGGTCCGCGATCTATCATTCCACCAATAGGTTGTCCGGTGGAAGTGTTCAGTTCGCGTTCTTGGCTTTAAGTCAGCACCTACAAAGCTAGCATTTGCCGTCCGCCCTGATGTTATCCTAACTACTTGGCAAAGCTTGTTGCTCATGGAGGCTTGTCTTGGCATCGCTTGAGTCAACCATGCTTTCAATACCCGTCTTGGCTGACCCTGTGGTAAAGATCAACGACAAGGTATCAAACAGCCACTGGCAGATGGCTGCAGTCAAAATAAAGCGAAGCCAAAAATATCGTCAAGGATCACTGCATCCTCTTTGTTAGATCAAGGTATTGTTTTAACTGTTGGCTGTTGATTATTACGTTATACGTTATACGTTGGGAATAGCCAACTCCAATCGGATGCTCTTTTTCTTGCGTGGGATGTCGAAAAGGGTCGTGATCGTCGAGGCCTCTTCCCCTTAAAGTCTTTGGTACAGAGCGGATACAAAGGGTTAGGGTAGTATGTATGACTACTCTTTTCTCGAAGACGAAATTTCTTGCGTGGTATGTCACAAGGTCTGAGCAGTCGCTGGCAGAATTTACCCAGCTTGGCTGCCATCTAGCCTGACATGTGATGAAAATGCCTAGAGCGGCCATGAATACCCACGTATATCAATTCATGTTGAGAGAAAACATCGAGCCACCAACAGCCTCCCGCTATCAAGTGTCATCAGCAACCAGACTTTCTCCCGTCGATAAATCTGAATAGTGTTTTTCCTCAGCACTAAGGAATGCTGTCTCGCATATATTGTAGCCATTGAACACTCAAGCCCGCAAGAGTAGTAGGTAAGAAAGAGTACTAACCGCAATGCCCTTCACAAGGGCCTATCAATGAGCAGGCAGTTACGAAGTCAGCCGCATCAAGAATGACAATTGGTATCTATTAGGCAAGTGATCACACTATAGAACGTTCGCTGCTTATTTCACTTTAACGAGATTCATTTTCCCATTTGGTATCTTGTTCATCAGATATGTATATGCACATAATAGAACAGAAACACCTTTAATTAAGTCGATGTCAACTCTACACAGTATGAGCAGAATGACCTGCGTGAGCCTAAAACGGCTCAGGTCCAGTGAGACTCAAGATAGATGTGAAATCGTATCAATAGAGCTATCAAATTGTAAAGTATCATAAAAACATGCAGTGCTTTGAGTCAGTATTTTCAAGCAAGCTGCATTCACAACCTATCTCAAATGTGGCGTCAAAGGACATAGCCAGTCGTTATTGAGAGATTCTATCTTGAATGACAGCAGAATAAGGGTCAAGCAGGATATACGTGAGTACATATCTAAAGCTGCAACTAGGTATAAGGATTACTGAAACTAAATATGCATGGGCTATACTCTGTAGCGGTAGCTATATGTATGTCTATAGTCCCAAAGAAAAAACCTGTTCATCTATCGTTTTCTACAGAATTCTCATTAATGTCGTACAACAAAGCAATGTGAATTATTTCTCAATATTCCAATGATGACGTTGTCACAATAACTAATATATAAGTTGTAAGTTCCTCTCAGCCTGTTCCTCTCCCTCAAACCTCGTAGCAGACCCAGGAGCACAACTTCCTCACACATACTAATCCTGCTCCGTCACATTGTTGCCATTCTCTCCTCGTCGATACGTCGTCTTGCGCTCCCTTCCTGAAAATGGTCACCAAGGGAAGCAATCAGGACAATCCAGTCCAAATCCGAGTTCAAGATCCTACAAAACCTCCATTGATACACGTCGATATATTAGTAGATTCCATCCAATTCAGCTATCGAGACATGAAGGACGCTTTGACCCTTACCTTCCACCGTACGATTCGCATCCCCGACAACCAGAAAGGAATCAGCTCGTTACCTCCAAATCTGGGTAAATTTCCGGTCTACAAAGTCCAGGTAAGCTTTTCCACAATGCCCTTATCTCACTTCCCCTGGTATCAGCAACGTCAAATGCATCGTCTTTGCAATGATCCTTTCGTGAAAAAATCGTAGGTTCTGCTAGCTCACCAGTATGAACTAGGATTACCTTGAACAAGTCCCAGCCGAAGTGGCCAAGGAATCCGGTCTTTTCCTCACCATGTATCAACGGGAAGCGATGTGGATCAATTTCAAGGCAAAATTGCCCTTCGCCGTCCGGTTTTCGTTGGCGGTATCAACGCCGTCTCTAGATTTCCAATGGATGAGCGGCAAGAGCAAGCACGAAAAACCGCAGCGATGGTCAAGCATGGACAGCCTATCCAAGACTACATGGTAGTCCCGGGCCAACCTTGGCTCGACGGTATCGTTTGTGAGGATGGTAAAGTCCGCCAATTCGTATCGCAGCCCAGAGGTTCCGGTTTTAGTGTCGAGCAACAAGTCACTGGCGCGGACGCTCGCGGAGGCATTCAGGTTGAGATCATCCCTATTAAATGCGGCCCGCTTCCAAAACACATGGATGTGCGCTTCAGAAATAATCACATAAGATACATACGACATCTTGACCTTGTCGCAATGGGACTTCAAGAATCATCCACCTGGAAAGACTTGAAGGAAGCCCTGGAGCCTGTGTTCGGCATACCTGTCGAAGAGCAGGTGCTTTTCCCAGAGGTCGAATGGAACCATTTCCTGCCTATTAATGACGAAGCTCGAATTAGTGATTACTATTTCCGACCTGGTTTCGTTCTGAATGTTAGCCGGAACCCTCGGGATGCAGCCGCTCCTCCTCGGGGGCTTTTTGGTCTTGAAACTTACTTCAGGAGGGCAGAGATGTCACCTTACAACAGCATCGCGAGTAAGTGCGCATGATCTCTTTCCTTTGTCCCATGAATCGCTGATTGAAAGACTAATATTCCTCCTTCACAGACAAGATAGAACAGATGAGCATGGCGGCCGGTGGATTAAGTAAGAAATCCTTTCCAGCTTTATTAGTCATCAACACCCTTCTTTCCAATGGCAAGCTGACGGTCCTGCTAATCCTCTTAACAACACATTCAGTCAATCAGACTATTTACCGGGACAATAACCCCTCCTACTCATGGGATAAAAATGCAGCTATCCTATTTCATATCCACATCTTGGATACGGCAACATTTGCCGAGGTGACGGGTAAACCGGCACCAGCGACGCCCATCAGCGCGAGAACTTACGCGGAGCGTAAGCCACCCTCCCGTGCTAGTACTCATGGGTTCTAGACCCCGAATGATAATGGCTGACAACGAGTCTTTTACAGATGGAGGTCACTTTTTCGACATCTGGCGCGAGGAGCCGACAGGTATCAGAGGCAACTTCTCGAAAGTAAAAAGCATCGCAGCACTCGAGGAGGAACGCGCCAAGGAAGAGGGGATCCCGTACCAGGAAGAGGAAAACGTGCCCCAGATCGTCTCAGTCATTGGCAGATACAAATCTACCTTCAACCCGGTGGGTGATCTTCACTAGGATTCACTCGAGGGTTGATGGGTTGGCCAGATGAAGGCATCATTGAACCCCAACTAGAGAAGCCGTTCATTTATTTGTTGCAGCACGTCTGTTTGCTGCTTGGGCGCCTCATACGGAAATTGGTATGGATTACATGGCGAAATGTGTGAAGCAAAAATCTCGAGGGAATTAAGAAAAGAAGAAGAAAAGCCAAGAAAAAGGATATTTCAGTATCTGTTTTGGGGTGGTTTACCTTAACGACAAATATGGATAGAGCAGGGACAAAATGGAGATTGATTTCGTTTCCGGGGCTAGTAGGCCGGGAATTCATTGACGGAGAGCTATGGAGTTTAATAAAACTATACGCGGCGCCTCATCAACATTTTATATCTAGAGAAAGACATCATTCTCATTAGACTTGGCTGTCAGCACACGATATTTCCACCAAGTACAAAAGTGAGCCTATGCGAACCGCTATGTCCTACTGGAGGACATATATGGATCGTATTAATTTGATCCTTTAGCCGCTTGCCTACGTATGCGTGCCATCAAACGATTGTCTTCGTAGAAAGCGGATTTATCAAACAACCATGATGAACTGTCCTCAAGCACTACCAAAGCCAGCCTGACAGATTGCGAATCCTTTCAAATACTACGAGTTTCTCGTATCCTACCATTACAGTTCTCATGCTCGGAGGGAAGCCTCATGTCGGGCTGCGTTCCGATTCCGTATAAACTGTAAGTAAGTTAGGTTCTTTATTCGTCTTGAGAGTACTCCTCGTCGTTTGTAGATAGAACGTCAAAGATAGAACGAGAACAGGAATTGTATCTTTGCACATGTTGTGTCTTCGGTTTATTAGGGTATCGAGAGCTGATCTCTTCATTCTACCTTCCAGCAAGCCCCTATTGCGCTTTCAATCACTACTTTAGATGGCATAAAGCGCGGGATGGGATGCATTTCCATCCACATCCCCCGCTACATCGCGAAGAATAAGCGCAAATTCTCATAGACAAGGTACTTAACTACAATTCACCTGGGTACACAATCTCTCTAGACCCAAATCTAATATGTGAGTGGTGTCGTATCCCAACCTTTTGACAATATGGACGCTGTTTTCGGCGGCGGCCATCATCTGAAGAAAATTGCCCGCTTGGCTAAGTGGTATAGCGTGTCACTAGTACCGTGAGACTCGTATAAGAATCTCGCAAACTAGATGCCATGACAAGATCAGCGGTTCGATTCCGCTAGTGGGCAGTCAATTCGCTTCTAATTTGCATCCGAATTGGTGTAGTGGCTAACATTTGACGCTCTCAGCTCTGTCTTCCTTTCCTTCTCTGAAGTTAAGGAGCAGTATCAGTACCGTCAAGCCCGGGGTTCGATTCCCCGATTCGGAGATGATCGTCACATTCGGCAGATGGAACAAAATGTCATTCTTTTGCCCTAGAGTTCTCAACATAATTGTTCTGTTTCTCTTGCATGTATGTGCTTCATGTTAGTCACTGATTTCAGTAAGGCTTGTCCAAGTGTTAGTTAGCTAGGCGGGTTAACTATAAATAATAGTATGATTTTAGCAGTTTCTTGAACAGGTTGTACAAAAGTAAACCAGAGAAGATTATTTTCGTTTGAAAGCATAAAATCTAGCAATGAAGACTATTTACTACTTTTCAATCTCTAAAACCAGAAAAGCTATCCTGATTCTAGAGCCAAACAACACGGAGTTTCCAAGCAACCCTTATGATCTTAGAGCCTCCGCTAGCTTTTTAACCGTCGCGGTCATGCGTTGCTAGGCCCTGCATCTCGCGCCACATCCGTGTTGATCACGATGTCGTCTCTGTCTCTCGAGTGTAATATGACAGTCACCGCTAGAAGATCGAGGTTGTCTTTATGCTGCTCGTATCTAGGAGTCAGAATATCCGAACTCCCGAGTGAAGTGCGGGTCGACATCTCAGCCTTGAGTTGACGGATCTCAGCCGTCAAGGCCACATATCTTTCTTTCCAGTCACATTCATGGTTTGGAGGAGCGATGGGCATCGGCTTAGCGATTTCGAGTTCAGACGACTGCTTGGCAAAATGCTTGGACTCAGGTTCTTGGTCAGACTTGTGGGATGTAGATGTAAGAGATCGACTAGTGGCTTCCGGACGAAGGTGTGCATCTATAGGTCTAGGGATTGTGTTTTCGTTATGACCGAGCCGAGTGTTCGAGTACAGGTGTTTATCTTTAGCTTCCTAACTTTCTATAAGCCACCGCGACAGTCCACTCTGAGTTGTATGGATCGCCTCTTGGTGTTGAACTTGATGGGCAAATGTCTCAAGCTCATGGCTCGCCTTCTTTACGGAGGAAGCTGTATCTGCATGGTCCTGAACGGCCTCGAAAATCTTACGTCGCTTTGACACTGAAATTGGAGTATACCGTCGTTTGTGCTCAGAACGGGCCGGGTCGATTTTTATCTTGGGTATCACATGAGATGGCCCCGGTACCTTTGCTTCTATAGAAGGTGAACTATGTGTCCTCATTAGGAGCAAACGAAGTTCTTCTGGAGTGTCCGCTTTACGGATGGAGTTTATCCGGCGAACAGCCGAGTGCCCTCTCCAGTCGTTAAGGGCAATGCTTGGGACATGCGCGTGCTCGTTGCAATGTGTTTCGTTCCTTTTCATGTCGACGTGGTGTAATGGAACGGTAGCATCGGCTGCTTTCTTAGTCGGCTTAGTTAGCCATGGCGGTGTGCTGACCAGTCGAAGTTTATGGGGTTGAGCGTTTTGCTGAGACAAGTTCAAGTCGTTTAGCATTTCCTTTTGCCTATAAGGAATAATAGTGCCCCTCAACGGTGAATTCCTTCCCTTGCGTGCAGTCTCTTTGTTTGGAGTTTCACGACGTTGATTTTCTGACGTTTTTGCTGTAGCTTCTGTCAACGGAAAACGTTGCATCTCGCCGCCTGGACGATCTGGGTGGCCTGGAGGGACAGTATCTTGAGTCCACTGAAACGAATCAATCCTTGTGACCGGCTTGGGTTTCGTAAGAAGTCGAAGATACGGGCTCTGCTTGACGCCAGCTTTGGACGAGACTTTGCGGCCATTGAGGAGACCATAAGCATTATGGCCAACTGCCGAGGAAAGGTGTTTTGCGATGTGATGAAAGCTATGGAAGCCTGCAGAGTGGTGGCGATGAGGGATATCGCTTTTCTCTCGCGCGGGACTCTCATCAAAGTTTGACTTCTTAATCTGTGAAAGCAAATTTGAAGCGTCGTCCTGGTTCTGTTCATATTGCGCCTCATTGCTATGCCGACGATCGCTACTGGTTGGAGTCAATATTCCAGAGAGTGTCGCTTCTTTTGCACATTTATCAATCTTTAGCCAGCTAGTATCGGCACGGATATTGAACGGTCGATGAAGTTGTATATCTGTGGAGTCGTGGTTCAGGTTCTCAGAGATGGAACGGGACACTTCTTTACCCTGAGAAAGTCTCTGCATGAGTTTCGGATCTACCCTAGAACCAAATACGTATTGGGATCCATCCCTTGCTGGATGATGTGAAAAGTTAGCATGAGCCCGTGGAGTGCCGCTGGACACCTCACATTCACACTTGCACCTCTCATAGAGGCGGTGTCCACAGGACGAGCAATGAGTCGGAGCCAAAGTGGGAACTGAGCAAATGTGACAGTATCGGCAATATCTTCGGGGGCTGGCATTTCCATCCCCTGATAGAGACAGGCCCTCATGATCTGAAAGCCAGCCGGAGGGCCTGCTAATATCGTACTGTGTGAATATATCACGGGCTGACCTCCATCGCTCAATATATGGCGTATGACGCAAGCTGGGCGAAGCTAACGGCATCTCTTGTGGCGCTTTAAGGAATAAGCGGTTTGTGAAGGATTGGGTCTCATTATGATTATGTGTTAGCAAGTACGTATAGGTTGGGTTGACCCGAATCTCTTTGACAACGTTGGGAGCATGCTGTCTACCAGACGAGTGGATTTCCGTGAGACCGAATTTGTTACATAGGTGGCCCATAGAAAAGCTCTTGCGACATGACGAAGGCTGTAACAAGAGTGGTGCCTGAACACCGGAATTCTGAGCAGATTCCTTGACGAGTCTATCCCGTCCACAATTGTGGAAGACAAATATATGGGAAGCGGGAAGAGTCTGAAAGTCCGGTTTGTTGGGAAACCGAGTTGAGGGGTCTGCAAACTGGGAATGTGGCAGACGTCTCTAAACGACGGCCGCGTTCGCGCGCTCGCATTCGGCGGGGTCGGGTTCTTTGGGCGACGAGTTGATGTGGCCGGAAGATGCGTAGAACTGATGCGGTCGTGAAGTAGCGGTTCTAGGAAGAACTGGATTGTCAAGAACAGTGTGGTTATTCTGGTTGGGCTTATCTTCAACAATGGGAGCACATCCTCGTGAGCGTGAAGACATGACGAATAATCTCCCTCGATGATTTGAATAACGCTATAAGTGGCGGATCTCCCAGGTAGGCTATAATTAATATGATATATTTGCAGCCCCAAAGTTGATGTTGGGAATTGCACCACATGTTAGCAGTAAGCGAGTAGAACCGAGGAGTGCGTCGTCTAGGCAGCTTGGTCGAGACATAATCTTAGTTAGCCACTATAAAGCACTAGATAAGGCAGCCACAGTATGTATTGCAAGTAGGCGCATTCACATAAAAAGGCAGCCGCAATAGTAGACGTCAATATGCTCAAATCAGCAGCATGCTTCGCTTTGGCAGATTGCAGGGAATTATTCTGATGTACAAGTTGTTGCGTGACTACTACCTTCTATACAGTCTATTTCAATACAGCTTGCAAACTCTCCAGGACCTGATGTTGTTAGTAAGACATAATGTAAATTAAACACCCAGGGCACGCCTTACCTCCAACTCAATCTTAGCCTCTGCGATATCTTGCTCACTACCGCTACCGTTGGCGACCTTCTGTGCCTCGGCAATCTGGGATCGAACAGCGTCGGCGCTAAAATCCTCCAGGGGGTAGCCCTCAACGGCGTTGATGCTTAAAACGGAGTTTGGCTGAACGGTAGCGAAGCCTCCAGAAACTAGTGATAGACTTCAGTTAACCGCCCCACGTTACCTTCTTCGTCTTCGCATGTACATACGGAAAAACTGCTTGCTGGAGCCGTTGTCTTCGATGACCTCGATGAGACCAGGCTTCAGTTGCTCGATCGAAGGGACGTGGTTGGCAAGGACACCCATTTCGCCAGACTCGGCCGGAATGTTGACCTGGACAACACCTTGCGACGTGTAGATGGACTGTTGCGGGAATTAGCAGAGCCGGCCGGTAGCGAGGCCGTCTAACGTAGGCGAGTTGGACGGAGTCGCGGGTGCCATGGTGTAGTGAGCCCATCGCACTAGTGGAGGTTATCGTACCTGGTGAGGGAGAGACAAGCTCAGCTTGATCTGCGTAATTTGTTAGTAGAGCACTTATTTCTATTACGGTGTGATACGAGCCTTGTCGGGGGCAGCATCGGCATAGCCCCTTCGCTGCAGAGGCTGGATGGGGAGCCGCATAGCAGCGGGACGAGCTCGCAGAGCTGCGCGGGCGACGCGGAAGGCGTTCATGATGACTGGTGTTGTCAATTGGAGAAATGCGTGACCTAGCGAAGCTCACGATGGGCAACAGCAGCAAATTGGAAGTCAATGCTTGGAGAGGCGGATTATCGGAAGATGGTCAGTCTAGCCACATACGGTAAGGGCGTGGTTTCACGTGCGTATCACGTGACTCAGTCCTCTTTCATCAAGTTACAGTCTCTGCTTACCTAAAGGCAGACCCAAGGTATGACGTCGCTATTTTAACATGTGCTGTCTTATGTATGGCTATTATTGCCCAGGTCATATACCTACCTAACAGCATGTAACCTCCAAAACCAGAACATTAAGATGACATTTTTCGACTCTTATGGCGGTAAGAGATGCCATTTTGATTTCTCACAAGAGACTTTGGTAACATCACCAATCGATACTAGACTTTGCTGCATTGCGTACCATCACTTTCCCTGGATACACCTGGTATATAACAGAGTTCCGGACTGACCGGCGGAATAAGCCAATCTAAGATTACAGATATCAATACTGGAAAGTAAAAGCGGCGTGTCATCGTTGAATCCTCAACAGTTTGGCGAGACACTTTGATACCAACGAGTCAAAATTCCTTCGCTCCAACATTAACGGCCTATACATTCTATTTCAGCCTTGAGCTGACTAGGAGTTGTCTATCTGTACGCATCGGGGATGCCGTCATCAATCAGCTCCTGTTAACTTGATGGCTGGCCAAGAGATGCCAATGGCTGAAGTGGCTTTCGAGTATTGAAGTCACTCATTATCAATGTGCGTATATGGTGGGATGTTAAGTGTGTAATGATAGACAATGATTGTAATTGTTGATCC